TGCGTTCAGCAGAGAAAGCTGCTTTGCAACTGTTGTAAAATTCGTGAATCTGATTGGTACATGCTCTTGGATTCAACCAAAATTAAGAGCATGCTCCAATTAGATTCACGAATTTTACAACAGTTGCAAAGCAGCTTTCTCTGCTGAACGCAACCAATAAAAATTTATTGGTCTATTCTTTTTTGCAACACTGCTAATTGATGCAATAAAGCCAGCGAGCATACGATGCTTGTTTCGTGCTGGTTTGCTTGCTGAATGAAAATATTCTGTTTTGATTAGTTCATTTCCATTCATCTTCAGAAATTCACTAATCAGAACAAAGTATTTCCATCTAGTTCGAAAACAAGCATCGTGTACCGCTGGCTTTTAGATCCAACAATAGGTGCGTCTGATTGATGTACATTTTTAGATCTAAAGGAATATGCCAATTTAGTTAACCAATTTAAGCTCATTTTAGTCGATGTATTGATTGCTTAATTGGTAGTTTTTCGTAACTTTTTACTTCTATTTAATTTCCTTTTTCAAATTAGCTCTATTTTTGCCAATCTATCTTTATTATATTTTTTGAAAAAAAGAGATCGTTTGAATATAGCGGGAAGAACGCCATATTGAATTAATATGTTCAAGTCTCTACCAGATGACGCTCGTTTCAATATCATCAATAATATGAGTTTGTCTTGTTAACAGAGTTAATGTCTTCGTGTAACGTCTTTTGGATCGGACTTGCAGGATTTTTGGCGAGACAACTGGACTTGGACGGGTTTCCCGTGTATATCTGACGAAATTTGGATTATTGCATCTCTCACGCGTTCTCATATCACATACTATAATGCCACGAGGTAAATATATCATCACGTCTCGATTACACCTTCTTTTTTCTCGTTTATTCCCGCGAAAGGTTTTCTCCTCGTGTTTTTCCAGCAAAAGCTCAATTCTTGAATCAAGTATCATTGCTGTAATTGTTTTGTTTGTTTCGTAGGAAAGTTCGTGAATCATAAAGGCAGAAACCGGCACTTTACGAGCCCAGAAGAACTAGAGGAGCAACGACGCCAGGAGGAGAAGAAGCAGCAGTGGAGAGTCAGTATTTTTAGGTTAACCGACATCGCGTGGCTATTTAGATACCGTCGTTGACTGTGTAAGCCTTTAACGCTTGAGATTTAGATTGACTTTCATGATTGACTTGTGAAAAATTAGAGATTGAGATATTTGGTAAATATATGTCATATAGGTAGGATTATAGTTTTGTTACATAAATATTGAGACAATAGGACATTCGTAAAACTTAGATACGTGTTATTCATTTAAGGTATTTAATTTTGCACTATACATAAATCTTAGTATACAATATCTCCACAGGATATCTTTGGTTTAATCTTTGTAACTTTTATTTATTTCTATGATTGAAAAATAGTAGATATTTATGTAATATACTACTTCAAATAATACTTATAAGATATATAATCTGCTTATTTTATAGAAAAATAAAGGACAGGAAAGTTCCAGTGAAGAAGAAGACGATGAAGAACCCAAAGCCAGTGGAGCCAATAGGTCAAGGAATCTTAGTGTAACAGATAGTGAGAGTGAATCAGAATCAGATTCAGAAACAGAGGTACTATAATCATTTAAATACAAATTTCCTATATACTTAAGGTTACATATAAAATCCTATATAATCTTATCTCATATTAAATGTCTTATTACTCTGCCTTTGTTTGTAGGGGGGTAAAGCTAAAGGCGTAGAAAATCTAATTCAGGTAGAAAATCCAAACAGGGTACAAAAAAAGACAAAAAAGTTGTCTCAATTGAGTCAATCCCTCGATGCAAAACCAGAACTATCACGAAGAGAGAGGTATGTGATTCTTTGATTATAATCTTAATAAATATAAGAATTTAAGATAAATACGAGTCGATAAGCACGAATGCTTTTGTGTAATATCCCACTATAGTGTTATAAAACCAAAATTTTATAAAAAAATTTTTAATTAAAATTTCATAGTTTTTTTACAAGAATATTTTCTGATATCTTTAAATGATCTTTAGCGTAATTGCTCGTTTCATTCTCACTGCCGAAATCAGACTTAAGTTTTATTTTTCAGAGAGCAACTTGAGAAACAGAGAGCGTATGCAAATTATCAGAAATTACACGCAGCCGGTAAAACAGAAGAAGCTCGAGCGGACCTTGCACGATTAGCTATAATTAAACAGCAGAGAGAAGAGGCGGCGAAACGACGGGAGGAAGAGAAGAAACAAAAGGAACAGGCACAACAGAGGAAGACCGAACTGACGCAGAAGGCGTTGGGCAAAAAGTCCTAGAACATACAAAGGGCTAATTAAAGGGAGAATTAATCGTTGCAATATTAATATCCCGACATCGGTTTTCATACTGGTGGAATACTATTAAAGATTGGCGGTCTTACCGAAGTTCGTTTTTTTAAAACGATTATCGAAGTGATTTTGAGATAGAAAGCGTTAGATATTTACACTTGAAAACAGATCGTTATATATATATATATAATTATCCTCAAATTCTTTTAATAATCTCAAGGTTTTAATCAAGACCGACAACTTTTTAATAGTGCCTCGTCAATGGCATCATCGACTTTCAACTATTGATGAAACACGATTAACCGATTCGTGCATTTGATATAAGATGAGTATATAATGAGCGAACCAATAGCGAACTTTTACTATTGGCAAAATATCTAATAACGTAACAAAGTTATGTAATGTCATAATGAGTGCGAACCATGGACATAGTATGAATTCCGAACGCCTTTTGTTCTATCAACTAGTTGAGTGAAGCCAACATCTAAAAAGAGAACGAGAATAGAGGGGCAAATTTTCTCCCTATTTTGTAATTTTTTTTTGTTGCGTGCACACATCCGTTTCTCGTTTTCATAATATTATAAAGCGCAACGGCACCCCGATTAGACTGGCAAGCACTTATTTAAATCTTATTACATACTTTGTGCAACAAGAGACAGAAAACAGAGAGGCTGTATATTTTGGCTTCATTTTTCTGGCTGTATGCGGAGTCGGTGTATATTATGTCTATGGTGCAAACAACGATCGATTCGTGTTCAATTCGATATATGTGCTAAACGGTGCACAGCTGACATAAGAGAGCCTTAACGCATGAAGTTATACTTTTATAAAACGCATAATGTATTTCTTATGAAAAACTCTAAGATAGTATAACTACAAGTATTAAGGTTATTATGCTGATCTGTGTATCTCTTAGGAAGAACTCTAAAATACTATGATTTCATGTATTAAGACTGCCAGTCTATATGCATCCAAATAAGTTTGAGTGATAAAAAAAAAAACAAATATCTGAACATTTGCATCATCACTTGACATTTATTCGTTGTTCGTTCGCTAAGTGCATACTCGTCTATATGCGTTTTACGGCACGTTAAATAATCATTGTTTATATAAATACAATTGCAATTATAATTATAAATATTAAATCAAGCCTAGCATGTCTATCATATTTGTCAATTGACCTGCTTAGATTTAAAACTATAAGCAATATACAGAATAGTTCTATTATTAATGGCTATTTGTTTTATTTATAGATTCTGTTACATTTTTATCTTTATTGTAAATTTAGTGATTATGATTAAAGAAGGAGACTCAAATCACTAAAAATAAGTAATAAATGATTTTCGGGAATTTTTTTTTTAAGGAAATAGTTTAATATGTATCTTTTTGAAACTTTTAGTAAATTTTAATATACACTTTAAAAAGTAAAAAAAAATTTCTGTTGCAAAATAATACTTGAACGACGAATTATATAAGTGATTTTCCATAGTTTTGGTTGCAATTATTTATTTGCGTGCAGGATAGCGCCTCTTGAAACAAAAATCCAAAGAATTTCTTTTTTTTAATAAAATAACGTTATGGATGAACCTAATTTCATTTAAAAAGATGCAAAATTGAGAAAAATATAAAACTTTGAAAAAAATTGCAATTTTTACGAAAAATGTGTTTTAATTATGTAATAACAATTATTAAAATAAACGAAATAAATAGGTTTATCAAAAGAAGAATATTTTAATCTACACACGCGTATAAGTTTGACTAAATTGATAGGTTGAATATTGTTTGAGTTACACTACTTCGCTGCGTTCCAAAACTACTCGACGGGTAAAGTAGCATTTAATAAGAGCAAAGATAACTAGGATTTCTTTATCATGATTGGACAATTAAATGTACTCTATCCGTCGAGTAGAATTTTGGAACGCAGCCTCTGGAAGATGGAAATCCAACCTAAGTTGCGTTCCGAAATTCACTGCCAGTACTGAAAATCTACAGTATACGTGACATGAACTATACATTTCAGTACTAACAGTGAATATCGGTATATAGCCCTAAAAGAATACAATTTTATTCGTTGTATGAAGAGTACGATCGATTGGCTGTCGGATAGGAAATTTCTAGGGTACTTATAGAATGTTAAGAACCTTTGAAATTCTCTATCCAATAACCAATTGGCATATTTAACAATTCTCGCCGTAGGTAGAACATGAAAACTGTTTATTTTCAAATAGCACTACTCAATAGCGGATTGGAAAGACCTGTATTTCCAAATAGTACATTCAACAATGGATTAGACGAATTTTTGTGTTTGATAAAGTGCGTTTTTCGATTATCTTCAAATTTACTTGATCTATAGATAATTTAATTAACTAGACAGACACGTAGTCGTCACATACCATTTGCAAAAACGTCATGCTTGGTTAGAATTGTTTCCATTTTGGCTAACCTACGTGGAGGCAGTCATGACTCACGCAATGTCAAAGTATTAGTTGTTCTCGCCTCACTTATCATATGTTTCATATATAAAAGCATCGGGTAATGTCCAAAATTGTAGTTGATTGCAAACTACAAATAGACACGGAAATAATAGAAAATGGCGTTGAGAGTCTGGAGATATATTCTAACTTGGGTTGTTATAAATTCAGGTAAGTGCAAATTTTCATATCTTGTGCATCATTAATATCAACAATAAAAATAATCATTAAGAAATTTTTAGTGGCCAGTGAGAGGATAAAGGACATGATTTACATGCCTCTGGAAGATGTGGCCGCTTGTTTTCGAAGACACAATGGCACACATCAGTTTGGTTGTTCTTGTAAGAAGATAGATTTGTTTACTACATTTGTTATTCTTCACAATTATCCTATATTGTTGTGAAAAACAACTGTCCCTCATAGATATTTACAGTGTTTTATTTGTTTTCAGCTAGTAGATCAGGCAGTGTTGGTGTTGTACATCTAATTGAAGCCAATACCGATCTACTTTGGTTAGAGAATAATGCTACTTCTGGTCCATATACTGTGGTTATGCCTTTTTCAATGTTCAACAGCAGCACACTTCTAAGACTACGAAATACAAATAATATAAATGGAGTGCTATTAGCAAGAAACATCAGCCAGGACAGACCTTTTAGTTATTCACCTGAGGATAGATGTCCGAATCGATATTCTGGCTATAAGAAATGTGATGATCTTGAACCATGGAATCCCTTTGGGACTGCATTACTCATGGAGGACTGGCCATTTCCCATGTTTTACACAGATGTAAGATTGTGTCCATAAAAAAATGCATCAAGAACATTAATATAGAACTTACATTATAGATATTAAGGTTCCTGCTTTTACTGCTCTGAGTTGATGACGTCAGAAGCGAGAAGACGCATGACAAAAATTCGTGCGCCATTTTTTAATTAGAAAAGATATTTGTATGAAAGAACGCTTTAGAATGCTTGATCATACCTATGAAATGCTCCGAAAATTATTATTTTCTCTTAACAGTCAATAACTACTCTTAAAATTGACGTGACACGGCAACCTTACTCATTAACTTATTTGATGACTTGATCACGTTAATTTTAAAGCTATCCACACGTCATCAATCCAGATCTCGCGATAATGGGACGGAGACCTTAAATACTGAAAAACATTGTACTTGTAGAATCAGACAGTGTTGGAAGCCATAAAAACTTGTTTCTGGGCGTACAACGCTCACGACCTTGAAACGCAGTATCAGAGATCGCTATGTGCGTTGGAAATGAAGTCGTTCATGTACGCCGCCGTTAACTCGGAGTCTTGCATCAGGCGTAGCGACTTCAAACTGAATTTCAATCCGACGCAATTCTGCGATCCACTCGGCGACAGGAACATACATTGGCCTTTGGCGCCTCTTGATAAAAATGACAGTATGGTAATTATGGTAACGGCACGTTTAGATGCCTCGTCGCTGTTCGACGGGATATCGCCCGGTGCGACTAACGCCGTGACTGGAATTGTGACATTACTTGCCACTGCATACTACTTGAACTCTTTGAATGCTACTGTCGATAGTAAGTATTAATCTTGAGAAATCAAGCTTTTTTTTACGAGATCTCTAATTATCCAACAGCGCTCGGAATTACTTTCAGTTTCGCGGCGATTTTGAAAGACTATGTGTCTTATACTTCCCCTCACCGTTAACGATCGCGGCGCTCAGCCTCAGGATATCATAATATCTCTGTGAGGCGCTTACTAATAGCTGAAAAAATTCTATCGAAACATATGATTTTGACATATGTTTGACATATCTTCTTGCCTTGATTATGTACATTTAATATTTATCATCGAAGAGGACCCGCGTAGAGAGACCGAAACCCGTTATTTTTTAGCTGAGTATGCTAATAAATGTATTCTTATTTTACAGAAGATGAATACTAATATAATTGATGTTTAGTTGTTTACAATACAATTACATAATACAATTACATAATATTGATGTTTAGTTGTTTACAATACAACGTCCGTGTATTGGTTCTTAGAGATCCCTTATTTTCTTTATTTTAATTTTTTATCGAAACAATCTAAACTCGATGTCAACGGTTCTGAGGTTGAGCGACGCCATCGTTAACAATAAGGGGAAGTAAATTAGGCGAGAATTGCCTCGAAACTGAATGTAATTCAGCGAGCACGGTATGCGGAAAGTGTATACGTATTCGTTCTTATTATAGAGACGAACGTAGTATTTTCTTTGCTGAACGGAGAGGCGTTCGATTACATCGGATCTAGTCGTATGGTGTACGACTTGAAGCAGAACAATTTCAACGCTCTTGGTGGAACGAGTTTGAAACTGGACGACATCAAGAGAGTGATCGAGTTTGGCCAGTTGGGCAAGGAAGAAATATTTTTTCACGTGAACGCTTACGACGACACGATCGATCGTCTGCGACTAGCGCTGAATGTCCACAACACATCGATATTTAACGATAGCGTCCCACCAACATCAGTGCAGAGTTTCTTAAAGGCAAAACCGAATCTAACGACCCTTGTTATAAGCAATCACGGAGAGAACTTTACGAATCGATACTACAACGGCGTCTTGGATGACGCGGAGAATCTTGATTTTCACAAGTATCGCAACCGTTTTGTCCTCGACTACTGTATAAACATTTACTCGACCGTACATTACAATTATTGATTATGTTTTAGAAACGATACTGGTACGCTTGCAAGAGACTTGGCGAAAATTGCTCTCCAGGTGGCTAACGAGCTTTACTGGGAGGTGACGGGAACCGAACCGGCGCCGCAGCCCAACGCACAATCTGCTATAGAACATCTAATCGTGGAGATGTTGCCTTGCTACTTGGAGAGCGCCAAGTGCGATCTGTTCCGCGCCGCTTCAGTTCCCGGTGTCAAGTTGCTCAATCAGATCATGTCGCTGTATGTCGGCGTTTACCGAGCACCGAATATAGCTACGAGCTTAACCGGCCAGCTCTTGGCCTTACTCACCGGTGAAAAGCTCTATGACATGAACGAAACAACGTGCCATGAGAATCGCCTAGCCTGGATGGGCGGGCCCAATTTTACGGGATTGTGCATAAATTCGACCGTCAATTATAGCGTAGCCTTGAGTCCGGCGTTCATCATTGAAGGTAGCCGTCATCTTTGTATCGAACGCTTGACAGACAAAGGACATTCAGACGAACAGTAGTTCCTAATGATTACTCTATTACAGGATATAACATGAAATCAGGTGTTTATTCCACTTGGACGGAATCCATATGGCAAACACTGAGTGTCAGAATGTTCCTGAAACCGCCAGCAGCGACAGAACGTTTCAGTATGATTCTAGGCAGCTTGGTCGCCATAATCTCATTCGTATTAGTATGGTTTATTAATAATCGGGCTCACGTGTTATTCAACTTGAGGTTCGTATACGATCGTACAAGCAATGTCGATTTGTACGAATCACCAGTGTATTAATACGATCATATCTTGTTCCAGCAGAACGATCGAATGCTAGGGATGCGCCGCGGACCACATATCACTGACTAGCTTAGATCACCATTGTGATTACCATTGTGATTACCATTGTGATCACATCGTGATTACCATTCGAGACCAAGGTGTTCAAGTAACTAGCCTTTAATCGCATGTGTGGTGCGCCCTCGGATGTTAATTCCCTCTAACTCTCGATAATCAAACAATTCGGACAGCACGTTATCGTTCTAATTATTTATCGTTATTGCGTTTTACACGTCTCGTGAAACTCGAGTGTGAAAGTTGTTGTTTCGAACTTAATATGCAACCAAAAAATGCGAGTACATTATTTATTTTAACATAAATTATAAATCCTTTTACTTTTCTGTGCGCCTCTTCTCGTCTCTTCCTCGCAATCGTATGATTTGCATTGTTTGAATTATTTATGGAATTTTATACAAAAAGACATTGAATGTGATGAATGGGAAACTTAAATTGATAGATTAATGGCTTTGTACATATCGCGTCGATATAAGATCCCTAACGATAGTTAATAGCTCTTGCAAGTAGACTTTTGATTATTGATACTAGTTACCTGTTTAACACTAGGAGAAGCAACGCATGTAAGTCTATAATGTGGATATATATATATATATATATATATATATATATATATATATATATATATATAAAATATATATATGAGAAAACTTTCATACATAAACATTTGAGTTCCGTATTGTCATGAACATCATAAAAATGTGCAGAATGATTCTTATGCTAAATTTGACATAACCGAGACTCAAATTGCATTTTTCTCTTCTTTTTCAATTATTTTTGCCTTGTATATTACTGCGTGCAGCTCTTCTTTAAAACCATAAAAGAATATGGCTAGGGAAAATATATGTATAATTCTGGCTATGTATTCATACATATATGTAGTACATAATGTGTATATTTTGAAACCATATTCTTTATGTATGTGTACATATATAATAAAAATATATACACATTAACAGTATTGATATAGTATTAATATAGTTGCGGTATATGAATAAAAAGGAAATAATGCAAGCGTGATGGCGTTTATTATCGATAAACAACTTATTTAACAGGGCTTTGATGTACACGAGAAAGAAGTATTTAATTTATATATCTATGCTTCCTTTTTTTAGTATGCATGTAAATATGTAATATGTTTCATTTACGACGTAAAATTTGGACAAAGTTAGGAATGGGCAAACTTTTGTTTCTTCACCTTCTAGAAGACGGATTTGAACCTCGAGAACTGTACAATACAAATGTACGAAATTATAAAGTGAATTTTTCATTGTGTATTTACGTTATACATCAATACATGGACGTTCTGCGAGAACCTAGGCGAAAGCGGCTTGCGGTTTCGCATTAGCGACCGATGCAATGTCACTTCTTAAAGTATATATTCGTGTGTAAATTCTGAAGAAATCATTGAAGTCCCCGTTGAAAGTCCGAACAATCGCGTGACTTTGTCGTTACACTTGGAGAAAATCACGTCTCTGCATTCTCCTCACCCATTCCTACCTTTCTTCTTCGTTATTCTTTTTTTTTCTTGTTTACTTTTCCTTTAAATCTAGTTTTCGATAGATAAATTTCGCATCGACGTTAATACGGCGAATGTGTTTTACGTTCCCTACCGTACAAAGGGTCCATATGCACGCGTCGTAATAACTTTTATACGGACGCACCCATGCGAAAAGAAACGAAGGTTCGTTTACGTCTAATGAAAATATGTCAAGTTTACAATACGTCCCTGGCTCCTCTCTCTTAGCCCACGTGCATATGGATAAGAAAAAAATCGTCTCCACAACACGCACGTCCCCGACACACGTTCAACCTCTTCGGTAAATCGTCTCTTACGCTTTCTTCAACTAATTTTTTTGTTTTCAGTATACAAGGATGAAGTAGGAGGCTGGGCACCGCCCACCGAATTATCACAGTCGTCTGGTGCCGCAGCACATACGTATACGTGGTTCAGCCTTACGACCTACCTCTTAATCTAGCATTTATCTTAAGTTCGACTTACTTCGAAGAATACAGTATAGTCCCGTACGAGGTGGTTCGTTAAAGCAATAATTAACTAGAGAAACGATTAATTGTTCTTCATACGATTGGACTACGATTGCGTGTTATTGCTCGTTGCAAACGATAGCACGCGGAGGGAAGTCCATTCCCTCCGTCGGCGTGCGATCTCGAGAGCGAGAACTGTTTTGAATTTCACTTTAAGTTAGAAGAATAATAATAATACAAGCGTGACGCCATAGTGACGCGGCGCGTCATTCCCTCGTCCGTCAGTTTTACAGAATTGAATTACAGTCGACAGTCGTGTTTATTACTTTAAGCGAACTGATGTCGCGGCACCGTATATGGAGCTATACTGTCAGCTGTCTGCAACTGATAATGTCGTTTTACCGGGGTCTTATAGTCACGGACGCGCGGCGATTTACGTCGTGCGATTACATACGATCACGCATCGTGATCGGAGTCGCGAGTAGAATTGATCATACGCGAGAATGGATGTGTTCAAAAAAAGAAAGAAGAAAGCATCACGTACACGGACTACGGTTCGTCTCATCATTCGCAAGCTACTAATGGAAGCACTCTGTCAATCTATATACATCGAGGGACTCAACGTGAAAGAAGATTATCATATATAAGTACAGGAGAAAAATAATATCTGGCTACGCCGCTTAAGGCAACCTCGTTCCACGACAGGCTACTTGGTATGACACATTTTCCTGGTGTACGATCGAGTGACTAGTGTTTACGGTTCACTTATCGATAACTGATTCGCGACAAAATGACACGAAACGGCCGGAACTGAGATGAACGCGAAGCCGAGGTACAATAAGTTCCACGTTTCTCGCTACTTCTCTTGATTCTTCTCAAAGGCAAGATGATCGACGATGCTTTCTCTACGGAATATAGTCAACCTGGAGCAACTAATCCTTCTCTCGCTACGTTTATCGTATTACGTCGAATCTAACACTGTAACAAGGTAAAACGGTTTTAACAATTTAAATCTCAATGGACGGAACGCGTGGAGAAATGATGGTTCGGGAAAGCATAAATACACGCGTGATATATGTGCATCAGGGAGAACAGTATGTACACGAGTATATTCAGCGAGAAACAGCCACGGTCTCTCTCTCTCTTCCTCTTTGAGTGGACGTCGAAATCTGCCAAACTTGCCGGAAGCTCGAAATAAAGGAGCTTCCGTGTTCGTGAAGCACGCGAAAGGAAAGTATATACCGTTGACAGTAAAACGGAATGATCACGTGTAGACAGCCAAGTGTATAAACATTAGTATCCTAAAAAAATGGCGTGTACGTTGTCGAATATTCTCGTTTTTTTTCTCTTCAGTTACAAGAAAAGTATTATCATAGCTTCCCTTTCTCAAATACTTCGTAATATTTTCTTCTTTGCTCTATCTCTTTCTTTATCTCTCTCTTTCTTCCTCTTTCTTTCTCACTAACAGTTACGCATGTAATATATACAGTATAATATCATGTAACGTGCGGTACACGCGTAGAGACGACACTTAGAGTTTAAAAATATAATCGTCATATATTTAAAGTATATTATATCATCATTGTGTTGTGTTGTTGCTGCTGTTGTTATTACTATTATCATTATTATCGTCATTATTATAGTTATAATTATAATTAGTTATAATATTACTGTTACTATTTTTATTATTAATATTATTATTATTGTTATTATTATCATGGAGGGACAGCACTTCGCTATGCCACGACACTGCAGAGCTGAACAAAGACTAAACGCGGAAGTTACCACGCTCTTTAATGGCACGAAAAGTACAATTAATATTGCGTACTACAAACTATGTTCTCGTCTAATTTGGAAACTAAGCGCGATTATCTCATGTACATGTAATTCTTTTGCTGATGTGCCACATGATATACATCTGATCGCGAAAGAGCCTTACAATTCGTAAGCTTTAATTGGCATAGACTGTAGTCATTGCAATCTCATTGTCCATATCACTTCGCCACACAAGCAAATTATAAAATATAAAGCGAGTCAACGAATTTTCCTATTCCAAAGAGCCTACGCGAATTATAATTGCAAACAAAAAGTAAATACCGGCATCTCGTTACAATAATAACGGTGGTTCTCGTCATAATAGAAGCAGTATACAAGTATTAATAATAGCAATAGCGGTAACAGTAAAAGGAGCGATAGTACTAATAGTAATAGTAACAGTATTAGTAGAGTAATAGTAGAAGTAATAGTACAATAGTAGTAATAGTGGTAGTAGTAGTAATAGTAGTAGTAGTAATAGTAATAGCGGTAATGGAAGGAATAGCGATAGTAGTAGTGGTACTATTACTAGCGATAATAATAGTGTAGTAATAGTAATAGTAGTGGTATTAGCAGTAGTATTAGTGGTAGTAATAGTAGTAATAATAATAATAATAATAGAAGTAGTTATAGTAGTAGCAGTAGTCGTAATAGTGGGGTAGTGGTAACAGTAGAGTATTAATCGTAATAATAGCGGTAATAACGTAACAAATGTTGTTCGCGAAGCTAACAGAAAACAAAGATTTGATTTTTTCTGTTTGTTTTATTGTTCTTTTTTCTCTAACGGAACGTTAATGTTATATATAAGAAAAACTGATCGACTAAGCTCATCGACTAAGACTATCGGTTTATCATAATCAAGAGATATGCAAGGAAGAAGAAAATTTACATCTCTCTCTCTCTCTCTCTCTCGTATTATTACATGTGTACAAACGTACAATTAAAAGAACGACAAGTAATTAGACCGTAAGAATAATTGCCTTTTTACGTAAATAAAAAGTAAATCTTTAATAGACAAGAAAACGACGAATATATATATATATATTAATGTTTTGAATACAATTGACAATTATATGTTGAAATGATATATACTTTTAAATATATCATACGCGTGTCATAAATAACAATTTATACACGTACGATCGTGCATCTTGTCTTATAAGTGGTATAACTAAACTAAAAGATCGTAGTTCCAGAAAAAAAAAGAAAAAGAAAAGCTCGGATTTATCTTCACTATTCGCGCGTTCACTTAAAAATTTGTCGTCAAAAAATAAATAACATTTCTCGTAGCTTAATGCAAACGTATTTCTTTCGTTTTAGTTAGATGCATTTAAGTTAGCTGCTCTTTCTAGTACCTATTCAATCTCAGTTCTCGTCTCTGACGTTAAGTCAATATGTGGGTAATGAGCCGATGTGAAAAAAAGGTCCAGTCGGCTATCATCATGGAAAAAAAAAGAAAAACTGACATGATCGCATAGTATGCGAATAGTCAGAGTATCGAATGATCAGAGAGCGTGATAACCTCTACCCACGTATTCTTAACTCTCGCGCGATTAATTACGTATTTGACAGTTAAAGCGATATCTATTCCCGAATACCTTAATACTGTAATGAGCAACTGGATTTGAAGGTACCGTAAAGAGGTTGACGTTTCGGTGATCGACAGAGGTCAGTGAAGATCATCTTCATCGCTATCGTTACCGTCTTTCGATCTAGCGGCATCTCCCTCGCCGTCGCTGGAGCCCGAGTCACTCGCCGAATCTTCGGACTGCCAGCCCGCTTGCTGTTGCTGCTGCGGCGTCTGCTGCTGCACGGTGGCGTGCTTCGAAACCTTGTGACGTTTTCCAACGCGCGGTACCGCCTCCGCGCCGGCGTCCAACATGGGCTGAAGGATCCGTCGGCGGGCGTTGATAAACCAATTGTTCACTTGTAACAATGTTAAATTTGTCTGGCTGGCGATTTGACGTTTCTCGTCCTCGGTTGGGTAAGGATGCTAAAAGGTGCAAACACATGTCATGATACTGCGGCCAGCCGAGAGAGTCTAGTAAGAAACAATCGATCTCGACACTCACTACTAAATGCTGAAAGAGCCACGTTCGCATAATTCCGGTAGCTTGTTTAGGCAAAACACCACGCTTCTGACGTCCTTTTCTGGCGCTGCCGTGATTACTTCGATGATTCCCAGAGTGATTCGAAGCCGCGTTGCCGGTAGTAGTGCAGCCTTCGTCCTCGTCTTCGCTCGCCGCGGGAGAAGGCGAGCCTGTAACAGTAATATCTAAACACGATCGAGACGTGTTTGATACAGTCGTGGCAAACAAAAATATAAAAGTGGGGACGATTGTGTTAAGGAACAGCCAATATTATTTCCCGGCTTACGACGGTAGAATAACGCGTGTACGCATGTTACAATCGAAAAAGAGACGTTACAGTTCTGACCGAAATACTTTTCATCGTTAATGCTTCCAACGTTTGCGCATTCTTTTTCTCGTTCTCGCAACGCAACAAGTCCCCAATATCCAGCTTCTTCCAGATATATTCTCTCAGAGATAGTCTGCAGATAATCGACGTCATCTACAAACGGAATTGTCCAGAGAAGTCGCTATGAAAAGTGTAGCCGCTAGAAATCTCAGTTTCGTACATTCCAGTACGAAAGAGAAGGAGAGAAACAGAGAGAGAGAGAGAGAGAGAGAGAGAGAGAGAGAGAGAGAGAGAGAGAG